CCCCTCCCATTTCCCACCCTTTTCCCCCTCACATTTTCCATTTTCCCCTCACATTTCCTGCCCTTTTTCCCCCCTCCCATTTCCCACCCTTTTCCCCCTCACATTTTCCATTTTCCCCTCACATTTCCTGCCCTTTTTCCCCCCTCCCATTTCCCGCCCTTTTCCCCCTCACATTCTCCATTTTCCTCCCCATTTTGGGGCTCCTTTTGGGGTTTTTGGGGTGCAGCAGACGGACAGACAGACACGAACCCCACCCGGGTACGAAGCAACGGCGCTGTTTATTTACAACGGGAGGGGCTGCAGCCCCCCAAAATCCAAAATATTATCCTTCAAACAAAGAGGGGAAGGGAATAAAAGGTGGGGAGGGGCCCCCAAATTCCAACTGGGGGAGGTTTAGGGGGGGAAATCCCCCAAATCCCTCCCTTAAACTCCCCCCAAACTGGGACTGACCCTTCCTGTTTTGGGGGTGCCCCCCGCCCCCGCAAAATGATGCTCTAAACACCCCCAAAAATTTGGGGGAGGCACCCCCAAAAAAGTGGGGTGCAGGGAACGTTTAGAAAAATAACACACATGAAAAAACTTGTTTCCAAAACCTCGGAGTTTGGGGGTGAGGGGACCCCCAAATCCCCCTGCCCAATTCAGGGGTGTGACACCCCCCCCTCCAAAATCTTGCACAGGGGTTGAGACACCCCAAAACCTCATGAATTGGGGTACAGGACCCCCAAACTTCGTGCCTTGGGGGAATTAAAAAACCCCAAAACCTCTTGAACTTAATGGGGTCCCCCAAATTTTATCTGGGACCCCAAAACCTCATAACATGGGGCAGGGAACCCCAAAATTCTCTTCTTTTTGGGGTAGCGGACCCCAAAACCTTCTATTTTCGGGGAGTTTTTCCCCAAATCTTAGTTTGGGGTGCGGGTCCCCCAAGTCCTCTTTTTCTGAAGGAGTGGGACACCCCAAAAGCTCCTGATTTGGGGCAAAGAACACCCCAAAATCCCCCTATTTTAGGGGGAGTCCCCCAAATCTTTTTGTCTGGGGTGAAGGACCCCCAAACCCTTCCTTCTTGGGGGTGGGGGACCCCAAAATGTCATAATTTGGGGTAGGGGACCCCCCAAACCTCCCCTATCTAAGGGGGGGCTCCCCCAATCTTAATTTGGGGTGGGGGGAACCCCCCCCCAAACCTTCCCAATCTTGGGGGTGAGGGACCCAAAAAAATTAAAAAAAAAAAAAAATCTCATGATCTGGGGTAAGAGCCCCCCAAATCCTGTACCCCAAAATGGGACCCCAAAACCCTCCTGGCCTGCAGATGAGGGACCCCAAAACCACACCCAAATTTTAACTGGAACCCCAAAACTTATTGGGGGTGGGGGGAGGTAAAAGTCCCCCAAAAATCTCCTCATTTTTGAGGGAGCTGGACCCAAAATTTCACAATTTCAGGGGTTTTACAAACCCCAAACCCTCATAATGTTGGGGGGAGGAGGTTCCAACCCAAAAAATCTCCAATTTTGGGCACCTTCCAACCCCCCAAACCTCACAATTTTATGAGCGCTTCCAACCCCAAAACCTCCCATTTTTGGGGCAAGCTTCCAACCCCCAAAATCTCCGATTTTGGGCACCTTCCAACCCCCCAAACCTCCCAATTCCGGGGAGAGCCACAACCCCAAAATCTCCAATTTTGCGGGAACCTTCCAAACCCCAAAACCTCACAATTCTAGGGTGACTTTCCCCCCCAAAAAAAACTTCAAAATTCGGGAACCGCACCACCCCCAAACTTCTCGTTTTTTTTGGGAGGAACCTCCAAACCCCCCCAAAGCGCGGGGGAAAGGTCGCAACCCCCAAAATTTCCGATTTTGAGCACGTTCCACCCCCCAAATCCTGCCGGAAGCGAGGGCGGGGAGCCCCAAAATCCCAATTTTCGGGGGGTTTAGGGGTCCCCGGTGGGGCGGGGGGTGGCGGGGGCGGCCCGGCGGGGCCCCTCGCGGCATTTTTGGCAATAGAAGACGTCGGGGACGTTGTTTTTCTTCACCTTGGCGCAGGACAGGTGGATCCAGGTGCCACACTGGCTGCACTCGATCATGGGCCGGCCGGCGAAGGGCTTTTGGCAGTAGCAGGTGATCAAATCCCAGGAATCGTCACCTGAAAAACCCCCAAAGAAAGGTAAAAAACGCAGAAATTCATAAGGAATCGAAAAAAACCCAAAAAATAGGTAAAAAATGCAGAAATTCATAAGGAATTGAAAAAAAAACACAAAAAAAGGTAAAAAATGAAGAAATT